GGATAAACTCGCTTGCTTTCTGAAAAGAGCGGTTAGCTTGCAGTTTAGCGATCTCCACTTCAATATTCTATTCTCAGAAAAGTGTAATTCATCAACTGTTCATTTACGACACAGAGAGGGCACTATAGTATGCAGTGTTTAATAAACAGCTATTTTTCTAAATTCCGCTGAGGTGAAATTCAGTGCAGTCATGTATCGTGATACGTATCGTATCGTGGCCTCTGTATCGTGATACGTATCGTATCGTGACTTTGCTGGTGATACACAGCCCTACTAGACTCACTAAAGAGTACTGCAACAGTACCACGGTACAGTGATGTTTCGAATAAGCCATAAACAATATACATATAAACCTTTATATAAAACAAGCAGGTCAACAAATCTTTTGTGCACTGATGTACTGATTTACATTTACTCATTCAGCAGAAGGTTTTATCCAAAGCTACTTACAACTGAGAAATATAGCAAAGGAAAAAATCTGTGAAAATCTTGTTTCTAGATAAACAAATTAGTCAAAATACTGAAAATTATAAATATATAAATAAGTCAACTTTACTGACTTCCTTAAAGGGATAGTTCACCCAAAAATGCTCATTCTGTCGTCTCTCCCTCATCTCATTCAAACCTCTATGAGTTTGTTTCTTTCTGCGGTGTTTTTTGCTCATGTAATGAAAGTCAGTGGGGTTCAGTGTAGTTTAGTTTCCAAAGTTCTTCAAAATATCTTCTATGTTTCACAAAAGAATGAAAGTCATTCAGATTTGGAACAAAATAAAGGAGAGTAAATGATGACAGAATTATTTTTTTATTTGGCTGAACGATCCCTTTAAATCTTGTTTCTGGTCCTGTTGTTAGTGACAAACAAAATCTGTAAGTTAAACAGATGTGCGTGATGTTAAATGTGCCGCTCTGATCTCACAGTGACAGGAAGAACAGCAGCAGATCACAGGAATCAAACCAGGTGTCAGTTCAGTCATAAAGACGCTTTGAGATGAGTGTGTGTGTGTGCATATGCACAGACGTGTCAAGACCAGACGCTTTGATATGCATGATCTCAGCACTTCTGACGAGAGTGTGTGTGTGTGTGTGTGTGTGTGCCGTAAAAGAAACTCTTCCTCTCCAGCTGCATAACTCCACCTTCACACACACACACACATTCCTTTCTTTTTCCCTCGGATCGTCTGAGACGCTCTACACACTCGCTACAGAAAAGCCTGGCATTAAAGTGCAGGAAGTACATGGGGGGGGGCACTTCCTGTTGGACAGGAAGTATAAAGTTTCACCTGGAAGTATTTTCCCAGACAGACTGACTATATGTGAGCGGCAAAAAGTCTCAGTAAAAATGATCAGTCAAAATCTGTCTGTGCATGAATGTACAGACTGTACTATAGTACAACTGATTTACCCAGGAACTGAACACAAAACAATCAGCATTGTATGAAAATATGATGAAAACAATTAATGCACTTGAGGTCATGTAACAGTGGACATACACATCACTTCTGCATAAGTTACATAAACTCTACATAATAAAACATGTAATTGATATTAAAGGAGCAATTTATTGCTGAAAATTGACTCTCAGGTCATCCAAGATTAGGATGAGTTTGTTTCTTCATCAGATTTAGAGAAGTGTCATTCCATCACTTGCTCACCAATGGATGTGAATAGGTGCCGTCAGAATGAGAGTCCAAACAGCTGATAAAAACATCACAATAATCCACAAGTAGTCCACAGCACTCCAGTCCATCAGTTAACATCTTGATGGATTTGTTTCAGTTTTTGTCTTCTCATCAAGATGTTTTTAATTAAAATACGAGTCCATAATCCATAATAACACTTCCTCCAGTGAAAAAGTGCATCTCCTGTTGTCTCTCACATCAAAATCCAGCCACATATTAGTTTAGAGCTGTTTAAACGCTGCTTGATCTGTGCAGATTTCTCTCCTGATTCAGTCCAGACCACTTTTTCACTGGAGGAAGCGTTATTATGGATTATGGA